ACCTTAATTTAGAGAACTACCCCCATAGCAACTGCGGTCGTAACTCCACGAATCGAAAAGAGCAAGAGCCCATACATGCTCGGTCCGTTCCGCTGTATGCCCGACCTTGCCTCCTTAAGTTTGCGGAATAGCGAATAATGGTCTCAAAACCCTCAATGTGCCCAGGGTCCCATTGCTTGCCAAGCCACTGACAGAAAGGCAGTGAAGCACAGGCTCGCAGCAGAGCATACCTTGGGCGAAAACACTGACTATTGAGTGACTGGCCTTAAGACTTGTGACTGAAGCAAACTCCATGGCGGCACAGCGTCTTCCGCGCTGGAAACGAATATCACTCCGTCATCTTCGTCCAGCAGGAGCAGACATGTGACGTAGTGGAGGAGAGTGGATCGGGACTCACGTCGGGCCTATTTAAGACAGCCTTTGCAGAAGGGGTTTGCAGTCTCATTTGCCCAAGTACCTCAGACACCCTGTAGTTGCAGGCAACACATGTCAAGACACATGCGCACACCATCTCATGACATACCAAATCATACTCTATTTCAGTATATACGGTATACTGTATCAAATATAATATATATATATACACACACACCGCGGAGAACACAAATCCCAAGCCACCCGAACCAAAATGTCGCTGGACTCACAAATCGCACAACTGCTCTTATTATTCACTGCTGCCGCTCCCACGACCTTCCAAGATCATGCCCAGGCTGCAGAGAAGAAGGAGAATCAGAATGGCTTCGATCATCTCCTGGCGTGTCCTTGGATCCATCAACGGAGTCCCACACAAGGGCTTCACTGTCTCTCCCATAAACGAGTCTGATCGGGGATTTATATCCTTGACCGCTTCACTTTTTCCTGCCACCGCAGATGTACAAACCAGGTAGCAGCCGAAACCCCTCTCCATGTTTCCAGGACGTGGAGAAGGTCATCGGCTGGAAGCTGAGCGGCTGTAGTAGGTAAGCCGGCACATGCACGCACCACGTGAGCCGTTTCATCTGCCTGGCCGATTCAATAAATCGCTTCTGGGAAGAATCAGCACCTTACATCTCGGCCCGTCCGTACATGTCCATACTGAGTCTAACAATAGGCACCTGAACTGTACATCGAGAGGGCCTGCTGCTTCCGGTCTCTCAGACGTCGCGCCGAAACTCACTTTCAAGTACATAAGCCTTTAAGCATCCCAGCATCCAGGCTCCTCAAAGCGATGCACAGGAGCCATGTTAAACAAGCCGAGTCCACTTGCGGCGAACAGCCCTGTACGTCTGAACGGCGTGCTTGGCAAAGAGTTGGCCGAGACTGAACAAGTACCTCTGTGCAGACTGCAGGGCGCTGACTTCACAGCGAGTAAATAGTGGACTCTTACCTGCATTCGTGTAACGATGCACCAGTCACTAATTGGTACGCTGCTGCAGGTCTGCAAAGCCTGAAGATGCCCTACATTTCCAGTTGAATATGTAACGCTTCTTGTGCGAATCATTAACATAAGATGCAAAGGTTGTTTATGGTAGGTTGAAGTGTGGCGAGCAATGGCATCGCATGAGTCGTGAGCCCAATCGACTAGGCTGCAGTCCGGAGGCAGGAACGCCCGGCATGCAATCACGGTGAATCGCTCGTGGCTGTGGACATCAGCCGTCACGATGCCATACTGCTCGGCCAGGCAGAACACGACAAGGGTCACCTGCGAAGACTGCAACCTGTGCTATGGCTACAAGAACGACTCCTCTGTGACATCTGCGCAGCATGCAAGATAATTTTAAAGTCACTCACACCTCCATCAGAAACACTACTAGTAGCGATTATCACGCAGCTTGGCTCTTCAGCCATTTCTGTACAGTAGATCAAAGACCTGGAATCCAGCGTCTGTGCATCCAATGCGCAGGCGACATCTGACACTGCGTGCAGTGTCTGCGTTCCCTCTGAGGGACAGGCGCAAAACCACAGCTTCGTGAGAGCCCATGGCAAGCAACAAAGCCGCACCCATAGCAAGTCGGCCTGGCGCGAACATCCGGATTCGAGATAGTTCGAGATCGCACTCTGCGCAATGCGTTCACTGGAACGACGGTTGCCAACACGCCATCAGATGCGCTCGCAGAGGCCACCTGCTGAAATATGAACAGGCCAGCTCTTTCCCACCCACGCCCGCGCCCTTCCAATGGCCCCCATACACCGCCACAAAAACACCGCAGCACCCGCATCCACACTGCACCCCACCAGAACTCGCCACAACCCCACCACATCCCCCCGCATCTCTCCGCACCCAACACACCCACCACAACCACCANNCCCCCCCCCCCCCCCCAACACGCGCCAGAACACACAACACAACACACATCACGCAACACAGCACACCACACATCACAAGACAATAACGTCAAGCACGAAACACACCACAACATACACACACAGAGACACACAAAAAAAGACACAGACACACCCGCACATGCGCCCACAGCACACACAATATGACTCACGGGCATGACGCATACGCCCGATGCACGGGCACGACGCACGGCACGGCACCCTACACGGTACCACACACGACGACGGAAAATTCATCCGGTATCTCGAACCCACTAAGCATCCTCACTAGGCATGCCCGGTCAGTGTTGCAACAGAAGCCTGGAAGATGGCGGAAGGGTGGCACACGACTTCTGGGTCACCATGCTTGATCCTCGGAGGTCAAGCTTTTGGCTGCCTACCATGAAAAAAACCAAAATGGCAGGGGCAGCCAGGGGTTCTCTGTCAAGTGAACGGACTTCTCTAGCCTGGCATTTGGCATATCATCACTCTCCTCTCTAAACCGGAACAGCATTGGGCCTTTTTCTCTTTGCTTCAAGCAGCAAGTCCAGGAGCGAGTTGGTAAGCAGGCCCTCGTCGCTGACGAGCATGGAGCTGATGTAGTAGTTCACACGGCGCAAGCCTAGAAAAACCAGCGGAGAAACCACGGAAACCAGAATTGAACCCGAGCAGAATCGCCGGTCTGACGCTTGAAACCGGGCTTTTCATTGGGATCATGGCAGACCTGACTGAACTGAGCAGGACCTGAAGCGTATACCCTTGATCGGAAGCGGTTTGAAGCTTGTCAAGGCTTTCCTTCAGCCCAAAGACGTGTGGAGGTGTTGAGGCTTTGGCTTCGGCTTCGAGGTACGGAGGATAAAAGCGAGTGCCGGCCTTCCTTCACGTTCTTGGAACGCCAGATCAGGCCATCCAACAGCGTTGCGAGCAGAGACGGTGCCTGAACAGACTCTTGAGCAGTGGCGGCATGCCCTTGTCACTGGGGCTCAACACCTTTCTGACAGATTAACGCCCCTTTCATTGAGAATGATTGTGCCATGGTGCCTTGATACACAGCAGGGTGATGATGTCCTCAGATGCTTCGGGTTCAGACAGCATGACAGACTCTGGGCTGGAATGCGAAACACCACTCACTTCCTCGAACACTGCCCAAGCTGAGCATTCCAGATCAGCAATAAAAGGCACTCAGAGAAGCCTCAACTCTTGAATATGTAGTATCTGCAGAATCGGTCTGGAAAGCTACACGAGATCGACAACACACCCAATGGCCATTGATTGTCGGTTCTTATCTCAAGTTCTGCCGCTGCCATGCCCTACATCACTGCTCCAAGAGTCCGGATGGCGGACCCAAATCGCCTCCTCAAAAAGGTATCGATGGCAAGACATCTTTTTAAGGATCTCGAGAATCTGGAACGGTGCTCTTTTCCTTGTGTGCCAACTGCTCCCCAGAGGACGTCTGAGCAAACTTCCGCGACAAGCAAGGAACCTGTTGCTTCTGCGCAGCTTCCAACTCTTCAGCCCAAGTGGCCATGCCGTAGTAGTAGCGTCCGCGGTCTGCACGCATGGTGAGCAAGTCCTGATCCGAATGCGACTCGGGGGTTCTTTGCACCCGACTGGGGCAGCAAATTGCAGAGCCGGCTTCTTGGCAGGAGCAGCATGCTGGCGTGCCGATGCCACTGTCAAACCGCACCCGAAAGAATGGGTGAGCTCACCTGCAGCAAAGGACGTGACTGTCCTTGAGGATGGCCCCAGCAGACTCCAAAGCGCCCTGACAACGCCCGACAGGTTTCAGGCTGAGGTTCCTGCTCGTGTCTAGGGCCTAGGGGCCTCTAGGGGAATGGGCTCAGGGGTGGTCGGCAAGTGACCGCAGTTGGGGAAACCCACCTTCTGAATTGCCCAAATCAGTGGCGACATAGACTCGTTGCCGACCTCGGTTCACAAAGGCAATTGCCAGGGATACCGGAGCTGGGCAGAGCCGGGGCGTGACTCGCGTCGGCTCGACAAGACTTGTGGCAACTTATGGCAACATTGAGCATCGTAGCCATGTGCTGAAGTGAAGGGCCAAACGATGCTTGCATCACAGGAGCCTGAACCTTGAGCAAGATCAATTCACGCTCCCCGCGAGGAGCAGTTGCCACGGCTGCCTTCAGTTCCTGCGCTCTCCAGACGTCCGCACGCAGATGACACACAGATGGGTGCACTCAGGTCTCCCGTGGTACAGATAAGAAGCTGGCCTACATCTAGTAGCACATGACACTGTGAGGACTCGAGCACTCTTGCTTCAAGCGAGCAGAGAAGGGGAAAGAGGGTGTGCAGGACGGCATCTATCACCTTCCCTGTCAAATCCACAAGCGGCCCTTTACTGCTCCTCTCACATACGGGGACCGGGGATATCGTTTTTTTCACTGAGGGGCCCCGGGTTGCGGGTCGGGTCCGGCATTCCGAGACTGGGCCCGAGTGTTCGGAGTCCGGGTGCTCCTGGTCGGGGGGTTCCGGGTGTCTCAGGGCGAGAGAAGCGAAATTATGCGCATACTGGAAGACGTCGTCGCGGCGGTCGACGTCGTGCTGATACGGATGGACGAAAGAACCAGCAGCAACGCTTCCGTCCTTGGAGGTATTCCTGTTGATCGCAATGATCACCGGCGTAGACCCCTCCGCCAGCGTCCGGATGAAAATCCTGCTCTGGAGGCATACTATTTTCTGCGTTCCGAAGCCACAGTTTAGGATCGCAACCTGTTCTAGTTTACCGTAGTCTACGACAGCCCGTTGTAGCACATTGTAGTTTACCGGAGTCCAGTATAGTCGATTGTAGTATACTATGGTATATAGTCGAAGGCTATAGTATACTACGTTCTGGTATACAACCGAATGTTACAGTTTACTCTTTTTATGGTATATATAATAGAATGTTGTAGTGTATGTCCTGCCGATGAGGTCCAGCGTCCACCAAAGCCCATCGTAGAGAGACTCGTCCGGGCATGCTTCCTTGATGCAAAGCCTCGGTGCAGACCGCGCAACTTCTGCGAATCTGGTGGTACAGTATCGTAGGTTGCAATATATTGCAGAATAGGCTATGTTCGAACATGTTATCGTATGTTATCGTCCATTATCGTCTTCGATAACCCATTATAGTGTACCATAGTCCAGTACTACCATTGCCGTCTGCTATCTTTAACACATCATAGCATAATATAGAAAAAGAACCGAGTTTGTTATGCCTGAGGTTTATATAGGGCTTGGTTAAGGTTTGGGGCAAGCTGACTCGCTTTACTTCAGCACAGCACTTCTGTTTCCTAAGGCTTGGGGAGTGATGTGCCCGTAAATTCCCTATGTATATATAACATATTCAATATGAGGTACCCAAGAAACCGAATTGAATTGTTGCCGTTGCAGGGCTGGCAATGGGTTTGCTGTCGGCTGTGGTTATGCCTTGGGCTGCGTCACAATATTGCGCGTTTGTGTGCTAGAGCAACTCAAGCCGAATGGCATAAACGCCGCGACAAAAGGCCGCACCAAGTCCTTCGGAAAAGCGTGCACCAAATGGCAGCAGGAGGCTATCTCTCTCTTAGCTTCGCCAGGAAGGGCTCGCGACCTTTCAATGCTAGGACCAAGTAGCGGGGTTGTGGTTGTGGCTAGGGTAAGTGTTTTCGAAGCGTTGTATGCTCACGAACCATGAAACACATTGACATAAGCCCTTCAGCCCCACCACTACTGAGTCATTAACTTGGAAAGGTCCGTTGTTGAACTCCACATTAAGACTGACTATGCCTCCCTCTGGGTAAGATTCCAACCGCGGCCGACCGTCGTACCATGGATCTACGATACCCTCGTCGACTCCAGCAAACTCTGAGTTCAATCGCTTGCTCAAACATGTTCGCAGAGGCCCAGGGGATCCCAGGGGTTTCAAGCTGCGACAAGGAGAGGCTCCTCAGGGACGCCATGACCTGCGTGGAGTAGACCCAATCCAGACAGCGCGATGACCGCCTCACGAGAGTTCCAGCTAGTCGGGTCAAGGTCATACATGTCCAGTCAAGCATCAATCCAAGCCCTGTAAGGAATGTGAAGGTAGCGTGGAGCCGAGTGCACGACATGCACTCAGTCTGACCCCAAAAGAGCAAGCCTAGTCTTAGAGTCTAGTCTAAGCGCATCTGCACCAGCAATAACCTCAAGTCTGGGCAGGCCAGTCAAGTCTCCATCGGCCATGTACATGACTGAAACCAGTCGCCCTTGCCTGGTGCGTCTTGCTGTAGATGTCTCCCATGATCGTCAGAATCCTGAATCCGCATTCGGGATTCAAGAGAATTGAGATTGGGAGGATTCGTCAGGATTTGCATCGACACAGCGCATAGAAGGAACTGGCATATCCGGAGAAATCTCCGAGAGAAACAAGGCTTTCGTGCCCTCCGAACTTCCGAACACGCTTCAATTGCAGAGTATACGAAAGATGCCTTCCAAGGAGTAATCCTAAAGCCTGTCGTTTTAACCCTACACGCTGAATGATAACCCTAAGCCCTAAGCCCCAACGAAGTATCGGAAGAGGAACCGTCCCATGATGTACATCAAGCGCTTGTTGGCCGCACGCAGGTACAGCTGCGACTCCTCGGGCTGCCAGAGAATGCCAACATGATGCTGCACCATCATATGCTATGATTTGTTGATGCACTACTGCAGTGGACGAAGATGTACTTAGACTCCCTTGTATACTATAGCAGACTATACTAGACGCTAATATGCCACAGTAAACTACAATATCCTATGATATACAAGGCCAAGGCCCTACCGGATAACGTTTCGAGGCAGCGCTGAACTACCGGAAGGATGTGCTGCAGAGCTGAGAGTCAGAGCGCTACACCTCAACCCGACGCGAGCCTCGCAGTTTGCGAAGAACGTGTCGAAGACCTTGAGCTTGAACGTGTTCGTAGCTTCCTCCGGTGTAGCACGTCTGCTTATTAACAAAGACAGTACCTTGCTCACATCCGGCTGGCTCAACCTCAAACTTCACGGCTCACAGAAGCAAGCCTCTGCATCAAATCCGAAATCCACCGAAGTCAATGGCGCAGAATGGACGGGTGGTGCAGACATTCATCGCGTCGAGAACTGCTACGGCTTGTCCATGTCTTTGCCCTTAGCTTTTGGCTTTGTATGGCATGGACCTGCTCCGCATTTCTCAGACTGGACTTTCGGGCCTTTGACTTTCAGAGACTTCGGCCACTTTGACGCTTCGTGCAAAAGCATCGCATACCGGGCCCGGCCTCGTCCATGCGTGCCAGAAAGGACTTCCTGAGATCGGTGGGCGACTTCAGCTTTACCACATCACACTAGCACTCCCTTTCCCTGTCCGCATTCACGATGCCATCAAGATCCCCGCAGGCCCAGAGATGATTGAGAGACCCCAATCTCAGCTTTCAGTCAAGCTTTCAACTCCTCGAAAGCAGCAACCAAGACCCGCATCATCCATAAGTCTATACACTAACCTAACCCAATTTCAAGCAAGATTCAAACACTGATTGTGGTGGGATGCGATCGCCCGCTTCTCCTCGACCTCGCACAACAGATGGGAATCCAGGTACATGCACATTGGACCACCCGTCTTAACTTCAAAACTACCCGGGCAAGGGCAAAGGTTTCAGCGGCTGGTCGTTTCAGTGGTGGGGCTTGCCAGCTTCCATGGCCACCACATCATCTAGCTATCCCACCCTGAGACACACTATGCTGCAACCCTAAACCCTAAACCTAAACCCTAAACCCTCTGCCTGCTTCTCCACAATGCTCCAGAACCAAGACCAGGCGTTCTCATGCTCCAGGCTCCAACTGGAAGGCAGAAGCGACCTTCAGGCGGAAGGATATAAAAGCGCCCATGATAGCAAAGGGGTAGTTCTCTAAATCAGGGTCCCTTTAGGGTCCTTTTTATAAGGGTGCCGTACTATATTGGGGACCCCAGAAAGGACCCTAATGTATAGAACTACCCATATACTCGTTGTAGTATATAACACATGATGGCATATGCTAGAGCATAATATAGAGCATTACAGCATGCAATACAGTGCGCAATAGAGTGCATTAAAAGTGTATGTTCCAGGATATTGCAGCATATGATATGACTTGGCCGGGGGTACAAGCTCTGAGACCGGAGCAAAGACGCGACCAGCACAGACCCAGGCCTCAACCAGTTACCTTTCGAAGGCTCTGCCTTAAGACCCACCGAGCTGCGAAGCTTCCACCAAGGCTTTTCCGCGCTTCTGACTTGGGGGGTTCCTCCAATAGGGAACCCTAATATGGTACTCTAACTAGTAGGATCCTTATTATAAGGAGCCTAAAATAAGGTACCCCCTAATTTCGGAAACTCCCACTTGAGCCCGCCTCAGGCTGGCGAACATCACAGAGCGGAACTCCTTCAGAGTAACCTGCCCAACGGTTGTTTCCCGCACTGCGCTGGTATGCATCTGATGTTGGACTAGTAGGACTAAAATTCTTCGAAAGAATGCCTCCGATGTCTAAGCCTCAGTCTCCCTCGGCAGGCACCAAGCGCATGATGACCCCAAGCAGTCTCGAGGTCCCACCTTCTCGTATTTTGCCAGCGTCAGAGTGAGAACGTCGCATTCTTCCTGCGAGAGCGGGCGGCTGTTCGTGACTAGAAGGGCAGCACGGTACTGTGAACCCCACAACTTCTGACAGATCCCGAGCATTTGCGGCTTCTCCGCACAAGCACTAAACCCGAAACCCTCGGATAGCACAGAAACATGATCCTAAGATCCTGGACTCGGTCGATGTTGCCAATGTGGGGTACCAGCGACTCCATGGAGTAGAGGAGGTCGGCAAACCACATGCCTCTGAGAGTCTGGGGGAATAAACTCGTTACACTGTTCCTTTAGGGCTCCTTCTTACCATTGAGTTAGAAATATAGTAATAGAAATAATATAGTAATGATAGAAATATAGTAATCGAAATATAGTAATAATAAAAATATCTTAATAGAACTATAATATATTAATAGAAATATATCATAGTAATAGAAATATAGTAATGATAGTATGGGAACTTCGAGCTGGCACTGAACAGCACAAACACCTGATAGTACAAGGAAGATCCGCTGTATGCAGGCAAGAGTCGGTCGCCCGTACCCATGACGGCAGCGTTGAAACCTCAGATGCGGTCGGCCAAATTGGCCTGATTGAAGACAGGGACAGGTTTATGAATGGAAGAGTAAACGACGCGCTCTGTCGTTCCGACTGCTGAGAATGGTGCTTTTTGCTTTTGCTGCTCTGGCTGCTTCTTTGACATCGGGAGGTGTTGCTTTTTGTTGCTGTTGCTGCTGGGTGAGTGGAAGTTTGTCCTTTGCAGTAGCTGCTTTTGTTTCTTGCTACTGTTGCTGCACGGCTTCTTTTGTCTTGTTGCTGATGCCGCTGTGGGGGTGTTGTTCTGCTGTTGCGGTGGGCGCGGGCTTGGGGGTTCGTGGGCCATCCAGGCCCTAAACAAAGAGACAGAAAAATCAGGAACCCAAGCCCCCAGAGCTTGCAAAGCTGAAAGCCCGAAGCCCTCCGTGCCGAACTCTACCATTAAGAGTCTTCCCAGTCCCTGCTCTCCGAATCTCCGGGGAACGTGCCATGGCTGCGAAGGTCTTTGGAATGTTCATGTTGTCATCCTTTCTCCACTGCCCATGGGCATCCTCTGTGCACTCTTTGTCAGGACAACAAGCTCGATGCTCTTGGGGGTTACAGCTCAAGCTGCACTTATGAGTACTACGATGATGGCTACAGCACCAGCTCCTTGATCTCTGGAATGTGCTTTCTGCCAAAGCCATGACCCCGCAGTCTGCTTTGAAACTTGCCACAGACAAGAAGAGGCACATTCTCGCCCTTCTCCATGTTGTTTAGCGCAGCATCCGATTGGTCTTGCTGTGCGTCCTGTGCATTAGGCAGCATCCAGACTTCTCATAGCGATTTGGGGGTGCACTGCAATGCACGCCGAGGTAGAGGGAGCTTGTCAGGCGCGCCCCTGTTGAAGGGCTTTGTAGGTAGGTGTGAAGACTGCACCGGAATAAAGATATATCACTCTCTCGCTCTCTGTCGCCCTTCCTTCCTTCCACTGGGTTCGGGTCCGCAAGCGAACCCGTGCCTAGGCGCCCCCCCTCCCTCATTTGTTTGTGGGAAGAGGCTTTGGGGTGTCTCGGACGGTGTTCGTCCGTTGTGTTCTGCTCGGCATGTAGCGACCGGCTGCTGCTAGAGCCCCCAAACCCTGAACGTTATCTGGCCTCATCTCCCCGCCCACTATGGCAAAGTCCTAAGTCCCTGCACCAGCCTATCCCCCCATGCCATAGAATGCAATGGTTTACGGTGAATCCCCGTGTTGTTGAATATCCTACAATGACAGTGCTGAGGGCAAGACCATAAAGCAACAAGTCAGAGTACAATATTGTGCAGGTCATCAGTACGGGATCCATGCCTCCCCTGCCGTGTTGGCTACCGTACATCGTCTAGGGTTGTCTGAAGGCCGTTCCCCCCTGGTAAGCAACAGCGCAGTGTATGGACAGTGCAGCAGTTGATCACTACGGGGTCCGGTCCTTCAGTTTCTACCGCTAGTGGGGTTGGGCTGCAGTAACAACACAAGATTGGAGTATGCACCACGAAGCTGAAGCAACGGGGAGCCGCGAGCCGCCCACAATAAACACTCGGAAAGTGTTGTCATTATCAGGGGCGTATGCTTATCTCCACTGCCGCTTTTGAGGAATTGTGCTCGTTGTGCTCGCGCCCCTGCTCTGGCTCTTGCTCCCGTGCTGGCTTTTGCTCCTGCTCTTGCTCTTACTGCCGCTCTTGCTTTTGCTCTGCTCTTGCTGCTGCTCTTGCTCTTGCTTTTGCTCTTGCTCTTACTCTAAGGGTATTTGGAGCCTCGAAACCCTCCCCCCTTCAGAGTAGGTCAGGGACTGGCAGGGATGATTTCGGGAGGATTCGCCCCAATGTGTTTTGATTACGAGGGGGGTGTGTCATAAACGGGGGAGGCGATTCGCCTAGAGGGCACCGTCCTGTCTTCGTGCAAGTCCCCCGATGGTCCTCGTGTCCTTCCGCGTGGCCTTGGGCGTGCTCGTGCTGCTCCTCGCAAGAGCCAAGGGATGTTTGGCTCACTTGTAGTCTACTCCCGCCCCCAGGCAGAGGCCAAAACACTTCAGCACTGAGTGCCCGGTCAAGCTACCATCATGACAACTTTCAAGTCCCTCTGTGACGGACTACACGTGACTACACTCTATCGGCAATCTGACATTTTGCATGCACCCGTTCCAGAAGTTAATGCCAAGGCCAACAACACCCGTCTACAGAGTGTCTGCAAATACTCCTCTGTGTTCCCGTTGGCCTGGCGCTGGATGCAGAAGGCTTCTTGCTTATATTCTCGTATTGATTGCTGGACTGAAAGACTGATGTGGGTCGTGCACCTGGGGATTAAATGGCGGGTGCTGGATGGGGAACCAACCGAAACATAGAGGAGTGTTGCGAGCCGGACGAACCGAAGCCACTTCATGCCCGGACACAGCTTGTGGCTTTGCTGTGCCGCAGAAACCGAAGACGGACTCGTCTACGACTTGCAGGACGATCATTGCAACAAAGTAGCCGCTACTAGCCGCTGAAGCACAAACCGCAACCCCATATCCGGCCTCATCGTCCTCAGTGACGTTAACCTGTTTTGGACATTACTGGAATCTCTAGGTCTAGAAATTCAGCTGGGATTCGCACGCGCCGGGCTGCACAGACAAGCAGCTCAACATTCACATCCGCCGCAACATGACCGCTCTACTCCGGCAGAAAGAAAGAATCGTGATCTCCAGTCGGCGTAGTCCCGTCTCCACGGGAAGCACTACTACACCATCTCTGATAAACGTCTTAAGGATCTGGGCAGTCTGAGAAATGCCCCAGGTTTGGGACACTCTGGGGATGGGATGGCCGCTAAGCCTGGCCTCCTTCCAGCAGTCTGTCAGAAGCTTCAGCCGCTGCGCATAATGCCTGAGGCCGTCTGAAGGCCAGAGATCTTAAGCCCCTTATTGTATATTAGGCCCTTATTATGGCCATAATGAGCCCTTAATTCACTAAATCGAACGACCGCAGGACTAGTGGCTTCATCATGGCTTCGATCTGCCCAGGAACTCGTGCGTCTTCGCTAGCGACGTACCCACCGCCACGACGATCTGGCCAAGCCCGAACCTTCGCGTCGGGATGCGAACCCAGAAGAGTTCAACGACTCAGACCTTCCGAGGGTTTAGGGTTTAGGGTTTAGGGTTTAGGGTTTAGGGTTTAGGGTTTAGGGTTTAGGGTTTAGGGTTTAGGGTTTAGGGTTTAGGGTTCATGTGAAACCCCTAAAGGGATATTTGGATGCTACTTCCGAGCTTCATGTGAAACCTCTAAAGGGATATTTGGATGCTACGAGGTCTCGGACCTTACCAGCTCATCCTGCCAAACCCCGACTGCCAAAGAAGCCCAGCGGCTGAAACTCAGGAGTCATCAGCCCTCCCAACTTCGACGCACACACTTCCAGTAGAATGCCTTTGAACACCTGCCAGGGCTTCAGACCTCAAACGCTTCTAGGCCTCTCGCTTGAAACAAGGCTCCTGGGGCTGGGGCAGGCTTAGGCAGAATGGGCGAAACATCACGACGCACTGCTAAGGAAATCCAAGCTGATGAAAGGAAGCAGATCAGCGATGCTCACCAAACACCTGAACTGATTTTGACCTTAAGCGTTGCACGCTCGGCCACCGAAACCCCAAGCTCTAAGCAAAACGCTGCTTTGCATATGGACCCCAAACCCTAGAGCCCTAGAGCCAACACCGCTCTGAAGACTTGAGTCGCCGCATGTCGAGTGAACCTCCACATCCGCTGTAGTGATGTCTGCATTCATATGGCGCCTCATCTGATGGCTCTTGTAGCTCCTAGAAAACCATCTTCTGAGTTCCAGAGGAGCTAAGGACGCCCGTTCGCAAACGTGGGTCAATGTTGGGTACTGCCCCCATACAGTAACAGTCTATAATAGGGCTACTATTAAGGGCCTAATATATCCATAATCTAAATCCTTGGGTCGATGATTGGAGCTGGAGGGCAGAGCTTTAGCTGCCTAGCGGCACTACTGTTGATGGACAACATTCTGCATGACCCAAATATAGTATAGTACCATAAATCCCATAGACAGATGCTTCGAAAAACGGATGCAGAAACATGTACGCTTGTACGCATGCAACTGTACCAACACGCCACTTGCTCCGACATCTGCCCTGACCTCTAAGACTCTAGACCCCACCTAACTCGCAGTCACTGGTCCGATTCAAATCCCTCACCCTTCAATCCACAAGCCCGGGGGGCAGGGCGATGTACTCCAACTTCTTTTGGACCACCTTGGGGTCGCTCAAGGATTGAAGCAACCTCGGATTGTAGTCCATGCTGTTGCAGGTGTGTTAGGGATTTCAGCTAACTGGCTGATTTGCGTCATCGGAAAGCTCACATCACACCAAGACTGAAGCCTCCAAATCTTGCATCTCCTTCCGCCTCGAGCGGACCACAAATCATGGAATCTGGAACTAGTTCCAGCGCGGCTCAAGATACTTCCTCGCTTGTCAGGACGGAAAAAACCCCTTCATGGGAGTGTCATCGGACAATCTGCCACTGCAGAATCTCAACCAGCACATCACAAACAGATATGTAGACAAGCTTGGCAATCACCATGCGAGCGAGTATCTGAGTATCGTCAGCTGCGCAACCTAAACCCCGACAGTCACCAAGTTGCTCGTTGAGCAGGTGCCATACCGTGCTAGATCGCTTCCTTGGTCAGTCTGGAGCTGGAAATCAACATCGCGGAGGCAAACATCCTGTTCACCAGAAAACCATTCTGTGCCCAGCATCAGCATGCCCCCAGTTCTGGGCAACTCGGCCTTCAGTTTGCCGAAGACCTCCAGGGCAGCGGCGTCGCAAAGCGAAAAGCGTCTCTCGCAGACATGGACATTTTGCATTTGTGTATACGCACGTGTATATTTATATGTCCATATGTGTTATACATGTATATTCTTTACACATCAAAAGTATATACACATACATACATACATACATACATACATACATACATACATACATCCATGCATGTATCCATACATCCATGCATGCATGCATGGATGGATGGATGGATGGATGGATGGATGGATGGATGGATGGATGCATGGATGGATGGATGGATGGATATATATATATATATACACCTGAGTACATACATGCATACATACATACATACATGTATGCATGTACACAGGTATGCATGTATGTATGGATGTCGGATGTATGTATGTATGTATGTATGTATGTATGTATGTACGTATGTATGTATGTATGTATGTATGTACGCATATATATATATATATATATATACATACAGCTGTCAAGAAGCAGTGCACAGTTATATACACACACATAAAGGACAGTACAGAAGCAACTACATGGACAGGTATGCACATGCACACATGCATACATGCAGGTACATTTACACTCGTGCATACATACATAGTCATACGTACCTACATATACATATGCATCTGCATGTACATATACATATACATATACATATACATATACATATACATATACATATACATACATACATACATACATACATAGTACATACATACATACATACATACATACATACATACAAATTATACATACATACATACATACATACATACCTGCATACACATTCCTGCATACGCATACTTACATACATACATACATACATACATACATACATACATACATACGTACAGCCATGCAGGCATATACATGTATGTATACATGTGTATATACATATATACATTAAGACTGACTGGGCTGCACCTCTCTGAGGCCTCTGCTGCAGTCCCCGCTGCCAGGCCGAAGCCGCATGTTCAGTGATCTAATGCTTCTCACGGTACACAGTCTACCCTTGAGGGTCCGAGGCTTCAGGGCTTCAGGGTTAAGTTAAAGGGTGTAGGCTTCCATAGTGCAGGTCGGTGAAGCTTGGAGGTTTGTGGAGATTTAGGTTTAGGGTTTGGGAGTTGGGTGTTTGGGAGTAGAGTTCAGGGCTGTCACATGCAGGGTTGAGGCTTAGGGGGTTAGAGTTGAGAAGCATGTGAAGCGCATTGAATTGTGCTAGAATGGACCACAAGTAAGACGTACCCTAAATCCGGAGCCCAAAGCCCAGCAGGCTTAAGCCTTAGTTGCAGAGACCCTAAACCCTAAACCCTAAACCGTGATCGGGGCTTCGAACTCGGAATTTGGGCCCCGAAGGAACTGACGCCAAGCTCCGAGCTTCGGGTCTAGGATTTTGAAAGGGGGCTGATGATTCAGGGGTTTAGGGTTTAGGATTATGAAAAGGGGCTGATGATTCAGGGGTTTAGCGTTTAGGATTATTATAAGGCGGCTGATGATTCAGGGGTTTAGGGTTTTGGATTATGAAAAGGGGCTGATGATTCAATGGTTTAGGGTCTAGGATTATCATCTAAGGGGCTGATGATTCAGGGGTTTAGGGCTTAGGGTTGCTGGTCTTTGGGGTTTAGGGTTGATGGATTTCGGGGTTTAGGGTTGATGGATTTCAGGGTTTAGGATCTTTTTGGCTGTGCCTTTCTTGAAACCAAAGCTTCAAGAGTCGTTTGGGCGGGGGCCCCCCGAGCCAGGCAGCACACGTCGCCAATTCGATATCAGCATCCGCTTGGAACTCAGGGAGCAGACTTGACGGGCTGTGTTCCCGAGGACTTATAAGCCATGAATCCCTAAACCCGTGCTTTCTAAACTCTACGTCTCTAAACCCCAAATTTCCTAAACCTCTACTTCCTAAACCATAAACCTAAACCCTACATCCCTAACCCATACAAACCCTAAATTCCTAAGCCCTGAAACCTGGCCTGTTCGGGACACGAAGATCCTCAGCCATAATCCTTACAACTATAAGCCCGAGAAGATCTATACCGAGAAGAGCAGATATTATGCTAAACCAAAAAGTAAAACTCGGGATTTTGGAAACGGTAGCCCGGATGACCAATACAGTTGAGTCTCTACATTATTCTTTTTGGGACTAGTGGTATGGAGTTTGCAAGGGTTTGGCAACAACTAAGACACCTAGAGCCCGACACCACATCATTCAGCCAGTATTGTTGTGTTTCGCGGTGGTGTTCTGTATCGCTTTCTTGGCAGGATTTCTGACCAATTTTGCACAACAAGATGTCGAATGAGACCCGCATGTGTGTTGGATGCCATCCTCGTTGCTGGTTGCCTGAACATACCCCCAAGCCCCTTAAGTTTCAATCGCGCCGATATGACGCAGCGAAATGTTTGGGACAGACTTCGCACCCCAAGCCCTAAACTCCGAACCCTAAACTCCTAAACTGCTCCTGAGCGATACCCGAGATCGGTTCGTACCCTCTTCACAAAAACCCTAAGCCCCTAAGCCCCCATCTAAGCCCCGAAGCCTTAAACGCCTGAACCCGAAACCTGCCACTGAGGTTCGCTCCGATAGCACTGGGCCCAGTCGGCAGGAATGGTCAGCACGCACTCATTGTGATTATCATGTTGGTCATTTTTGGCAATATTTCATAAATGCGCCCTCAACCCTGAATTCTAAACCCTAAACCCTAAACCGGAAAAGGGATCAGAGGACGCAGATAAGCGATTCTCTCTCAGAGTCCTCATTTTAAATATATTGGCTAGAGATGGCCTCCGAACTGCTGTGCAGAAGGACCATTAGCACACAGGCCGGAAGAACTAGTACTCTCAGTCCTCTACAGTCCTTATACAATTATACCCGTTCTGCTGAGTAAAACCTTCTTCTAATTCCCGAACGCACCATGTACCCATAAAGCATATACTTAGACCCCAAAGTACCCAAATAGGAACTACATTAAGGCCAATGTATATACTATATGAGTACATGGACCCTTAGGGATTACGAAAGCCCCCTACATTATGCGTACTAAGTAGGATCTGGGTTTGCCCTACGACTTGTCGCGGCTGATGCCGTCGTCACAGTAGTAAGTAAGAGCTTGTTCAGGGTGCTAGCAGCACCCAAAGCTTAAGATGCAGGGTTAGGATTTTGGGTTGAGGGGGAGTATTTCTCAAAAGTACGCTCGTAATGCAGTCTCGGTCATGATTTCGATGGTATGGCTGTAAAACTATGTATGCCTTCGACCCTGAAGTCAGCACCCGGAGACAGTCTTGCGGTTGGGGTTTAGGGTTTAGGGTTTAGGGTTTAGGGTTTAGGTTTAGGGTTTAGGGTTTAGGGTTCTTACCTTGCCTGTTCATCGTCTGACCTTCCATGCCTGGCGCAGTCGCCATGCCCATGTACCATTGCCATCGCTAGCTGAAGCTGCACACGAGGCAAGCAAGACGCATGTTGCAGGATTCCGGACTCGCCCCTCTGCCATACCCAAGCCCTTGCATTTATCGTTGGACTGAGGTTGCCAGACCCTACCAGATGGCCAGCGCGTGCAAACCTGAGCCTCCTCCACGCAGCCGAAGAACGGTTTCGGGTATGCGTAGCAGAATAACAAGCGTTTGCTGCAATAGTCGCGGCATCGGAAAGCATTTGTTGACCTTGTTACGTTGCCTTACGTGCAGTACGACATTCTGTTGCTATGTAAAAGGAGATAAGGGCTGGCCGTAGTTGGAGTAATTAGCAGTGACAGCCAATGTGGGTGGGCATTTAGTAAGCAGTCGTATAAAACAATCGGCAAGTGTGAAGGCACATCGCGCTTTTGCCCTTGGTTCTGCAGGAGTACACTCACACTGTTTCAATTCTGATTGCTAAGGATATAGAGGTTAGCTTCGATACTACAAAGACGAGAGAGGCGCAGTTTCAGTAGGCAATTTGCTGGCCGATCAGAGACTTGCGCCATTCTTTGAAGCCATAGCACATAGGAAGAAAAGTATGAGCAGCTTTGAGGCGGGTGGTTTCCTTAAGCCGCCCTGAGCCCAAAAGCCGAAACCCCATATTCCATGCGCCAACCCCCGGAAGAACCCTAAAGGCCCGCAAAGTCCTTAGGAGGCGAATCTGTAAGGGTCCATGTACTCATATAGTATATACATTGGCCTTGATGTAGTTCCTATTTGGGCACTTTGGGGTCTAAGTATATGCTATATGGGTACATGGACCCTTATGGAATCGGCTTACACTTGGGAGGTTTCAGGTTTAGGGGGAGAGCTTTGGTTTCCAAAGCTTTGGGTCAAGTGTTCCCACCTTTGGGTTGAGGGTTTACCTTAAGAGCCCAAAACCTACTTTTTTGTAGGGTCCCTATAAATCCCATATTAGGGTTTATAATAAGAACATACAGAAAAAGTGGGTTTTGGGTTCTTTAGGTAGGGTTTATGTAGGGTATCATTGGTTCAGGCTGCATACCTTTTGTGTACGTTTTTTTTCCTACAGGGGCTTCTCAAAACACGGCGCACCTTACTCCGAGTTCCTTCGACTACGCGTCCCTCTACTTGGGATGCAAAAATGCTATAGAGACCCGAAGTGCTAGGATTCCAACTCGAAGCCCAAAAGCGAATCAATTTAGGGCCTAGGGTTTAGGTCCCAGTCAACATGCTCAAACTGCCATGGGGCTCCCAAAGTAAGGCCAGCAGTGCCGATGCCTCCAGTTCAGTTTCGGCCACCGGCGCAGACGCTGCAGGACTTGTTCGGGCTTGTTGACCTCATGTTACTATGTGCGGACATGTACTATATCTATCAAGGAACGACGAGAGATTCTTCCCTGCAGGCCTGAAGCCCTAGCTGGAGCCATACAGGCCTAAACAGATCAAACCTCTAGATAAGTCCTAAGCCGGGCCTGAGCACCTCAACCCCACAAATTTCAAGTTAACTCCAAACCCTAATGTAGCGGCCTGAACAACAATACGATTCCCTAGGGTTCCCTTGTGTTTGCACGCTAGCCCT